TGCCACAAAATCGAAGGCAAAGGCGAAGGCGGTTGCAGGTCAAAAGCGAACCCAGAGACGGACAGGCAGACAGACAGACAGACAGACAGGCAGGCCAACAAAGATTTATTGACATTAAATATGGGCAGAGTACGCCTCTGAAATACCCGAGAGAAATACCAAAAGATTGCCTACTGTCAAACAGCATACATAAAATCTGAGAAAACTGTGCAAAAGTAAATAAATAATAATAAGAAATATGTATAAAATACAGTCAAAGGATTGCCAGGAATGGAAATTCAACAAATTATGTTGCAGTTGAAAATTATTAATTGGTTATGTGAGTAAACAACGAAGCAACTTGTTTGCAACTTGATGTTGCTCAGCTGAAACAAAACCAACAACTACAAACTAAAGTTTGCTTTCTTAGCGAATGAAACTGTTTTCCAATCAACATCGACAATGTTCATATTCCTTATGCTGGAAAACAATAAAAGATATGTGCCTCAAACTCGAGAGAAAACTCAATTTTGGCGCCACAAACTTAAGGTTGAGAAACCTCTTTGTTAACTGCGAAATCTATGTTGAAACTTGGTAACAAACTTTTACCAGATAAGAATAAACGAGAGATATCCAACTCTGAGCCACAGCCAAGCAAATTCCATATCAAGATTATACAAAAGTTGAGGAACAAGGTCTTCGAGACAATTTTCAAGAGCGCACAATCAGTTAAATTTGCCAAGAAGTCAGCTAACTAAACTAGGTATAGTCTACTAGCTCAGAAAATATAATTTTATTCTATTTCCGATTGATATCCTGTTCGGGAATGTCGAGTTTCGATTCTGTTTCTGAGTTTCAATCGGAAAATTTCGATTGACCATCCCAACAATCCAGCACATTATTTACCACACAACCAAACAGAAAACTAAAGAAACCCCAACTCTGATATATTTATTTATTTATATTTGTTATTTTATTCCTTTCAATCTTGTATATATAATATAAATCTATGTGATGTGCTGGATAAATGATATATAATAATACGAGCAATAAATGTACCAAAACTCCAAGCACTACAAATATATATGTATATACCCAACTTGTATATGAATTATTACAATGATTAACTATTGTAGTCACTATATATCATATCTAGAATACAAAATATAAACAACAAGCAAATCCTGAACATCTCTACACATTTGTTCAACTCAATTATTTAGTAATTTCCATTTGAAATTAAATAAAACAAGTGTGTTGAATAAATTTTACACAGACAAACTCAAAGCAATTTAATGTTTCCCATTAAAGGTCACAATGATGAATTTACGGCATTTTGCAGAGTAAACAAAGTAGAAATATTAAATTTATTATACAACAATCGTGGCAAGCAGAACGAATGAACATAACGTGCGTAGAAGAACAAGAATGGGAGTTAAACTTTGGCTCCGAGTTCAAACAAATTGCATTTGCGGCTTCAGACTTGTCGCTTGAGTGGAAAATTGCTGGCTAAATTTGATATAGACAATTAGAGGTGCAGCAACCAAAAGAAAAATGGTAAAAAATTAACTGCATATGAATGATAATTATGTTGATGATGACGGCAGCGACTGCTGTTGCAAGTTGGATAGCTCCCTTCCCATAGCTGCCGTTCCAGCTTATTTTGCATACAATATTTCTTGCTCTCCGGATTTTTATTATTTTCCTTTCAATTTGACCGCAAAAACAAATAAAAATAGAAGGAAAAAAGCCAATCAATAGTTATGACCCAATATTTCACGTGTTCTTCTTGTAGTTCTCGCGCCGCCGATCAATGAATACAAATTTTTTTGCGGGTTTTTTTTATCTGTTGCAACGGGCCACAGTTCCGACCGCAATAAGTCAAATAGGAGGCCAGCGAGTCTTTATTATGTGCAACGCGCCAACCGCAGAGCAGAGCCCTCTTCAAAAGTGGCAACAACAACAACAACAGCAACAAGCGGCGGCATGTTGGCGTCTGCATTGCATTTGCGGCAGATAAGTCAATTATATTGACTGGGCCAAAAGGAACTAAAATAAGCCACAAAGCCAATATCAAAGCTGCTCTCCAAGGTGCCAACGAAGTTTTGTGTTTCGTCTTCGTTTTTTGCGCTTTTGTTGTTGTCATTTTTTTTTTTTTCTTTTTTTTTTTTTTGTTTGCTGTCTGAAATATTCCCACAGCGGATTATTATTATTATTTTTTTGTTTTTGGGTTTTGCTTGGATGTGGACCAAGGCGATAACATCAACACAGCTGCCAATGGCTGTCAATGGCTCAAAAGACGACGCACAGTGGCACGAAAATGGTTAAACAAGTGATGAAAATGTATTTTAGTATGATCAAGAATTGAATGAAGGCTTGGGCAACTTTTTAATTAAAAACTATTATGCTAAAATATATACTTTAATTCGTATTTTAGTTCTTAAGCTTTGCAATCTAATGGAGAAGAAAGCGTATTGGTTTGCTACGTCCACAAGGATGCTAGGATATCGATAATATCGATAACTGCAAATCGATGAGAGCAAATATCTCTTTGAATACTTAAGCGTTATTCACCAAATTTGGAGTATAGATTACTGGTAACATCCTTTAACGAATGGAAAACGTTTAGGCCAAATTCCATCTAGTCCTACACATATTTTGCATAAAGTCTTATTATTTTTTATTTCAGAGGCAGTCTCATATCTCAAAGTTCTTTAAAAAAATTATCAAAACTGAAGAAGTAGATAAATTCCTAATAGACTTCTCCTCACATTGATGAATGTATTCCCAGGTCACGCCCAAGAAAATGCTCAATCCCAAATCTCCCACAATTTGAGAGCTAGAGTAACCAAATTTTATAGAGTTATTAACAAACATTCAATGATCGATTCAAGCTGACTATAAATCTCAGCCTGCTACAATTGTGGTTTGCCACAATAATAAGCGCACCACTGTGCAACATTGTGCCACACTTTGCTCAGGCTCCTACACCTCCTCCCCCACCGTCGTCATGTGTTGGGCAGACGCGGCTTTATTATTTTCTGACTGGCACGTAGATTTATGTATATATTATTTTGTTGTTGTTGTTTTTTGTTGTTGTTCATAAAGCATCTCCGAAACGCTTTCAGGCTTTGACTTTTCTTTTGTTGTTGTTGTTGTTGTTTTTTACTCAAAGTGTAGACGCAATTTACTGATTACATTATTGCCGGCAAATTGCTAGATTGATGTTGTTGTTGTTTTTTGTCGTTGCCGCTTATTATTGACTGTCGAATTATAGTTATTAGTCTTTTTTTGGTTTTTTTTTAATATGATTTCCAATCAAATGAACATTTTGACAAACAATTTGCGCTGCGATTTATGTGAAACTGTCAAAGATTAACGTTTCAAGTCATTGAATAAGAACTTTCTCTGTATCTTAAAGCATCTAAAAATAATCTTTAGCAATTTCTTAACCATTTTTCAAGCGATATAAACATAAAAATAAGTGTAAATGACATAGGAAGAAAAATATACAATTTATTGAATGATTTAAAATGAAAATAAATTGATTAAAACATAAAAATATGTCATAGAAGAAGACTCTCTTCAAATTTAATGACATCTCTTTTTCTCTGTCTCCCTCTCTCTATCTCCCTCTTTCATAATTCTTTAAGCAATACAAATCAAATAAAAAGCCCAAAAACTATCCGAAATGTCACAAATATTTGGTGAAAACAGGAAAAATTGCTGCTCGCTTTCTCTCTATCTCCCTCCAACCATCCCTACCACATACGCTATCTTTCTCTCTCTCTCTCTCTCTGTCTCGCACTTTTGCTCGCACAAAAGCAAACAATAAAGCAAATAGCAGAAAACCGGCAAGAAAGTCCAAGCAAAAGCAAAGTGCCAAGAACAAGTGCGGCCAGCAGCAGACAAGCAGCAGCAGCAGCAGCAGACGAGCAGCGAAAACAGAGCAGCAGCAGCAGGAGAGAAGCAAAAGCAACAGCAGCAGCAGAGCAACAGCGGCAGAGCAGCAGCAGCTCCAGCAAAGCAGAGACATTAGCACAGCAGCAGCAGCAACAGCAGAGCATCAAAAGCAGCAGAGCTGCGCCAGCAGAGCACCTGCAGCGCCAGCAGAGCAGCAGCAGCGCCCACAGAGCAAGCAGCAGTAGACGAATGCTCCAACAAGAGAGAGAGAGCAAAAGAGCTCGCGCTGCGCACAAAATCTGCGAAATGAGCCACGCTCACACTCTCTCCCTCTCTTTTTCGGCTGCACTGACTGTCTGTCAACAACTGCGCAAAAAACAACCCACCATAAAGCACACACACACACACACACGCACACACACATGTGTGCATGTGGTAGTAGTTGTAGAAATTTTGCAGACGCATTGCTGGCAATTCCTGTGCACATAGTAAGAATAATACTACAAAGGAGTATTTAACTTGCTGATAAGCGTCAGCCAGGAGGGGGAGGGGGAGGCGGACGAGGAAAGGAGAGGGAATTGATGGGAAGAGGCCGCGCCAGACGAAGGGGAGGGGGGAGTTTGTGCTTGTTGGAATCGATCGATTTTTCATGTCTCAAAAAAAGTGCTGCATACGCACGGGAGCAGTCAAAGAGAGCAAGAGACAGCGAGAGAGAGAGAGAGAGAGCGCCAAGCTCCAACAAGCGAGTCTATGTGTGTGTGCGTGTGTGTGTGTGTCAGTGTGCGACGTGTATGTACATTTCTAAGGTGTGTTAACCTCAAATGTGCGCACACACACACACACACACACACTAAAATCGGAGCATTAAACAATTTTTTTTTGTTGATTTTGCACGCTTTTGCTACAGGTAAAGTTGATTCTTTATTATAAATAAATTATTAGTAAATATCAAAAAAGGAAAAGTAACTTAAAATGTTGCATATTTTTTGAGAGAATTTTACAATTTATTCAAAGCGACTCGCAATGAATTAAAAGCATTTTTCGCACTTCAATTCTGCATATTTTAAATGGAAAATAATAAAAGAAAATTTAAAAATAAAACTGTTTACGTTGCTTACTTTTGTTTTGAATCCTTTGCTTTGCCGAAATTTCGAACACAAAACAGCTACTAATCCAAAAATTATTGATTTTCATGCGGTTTGCGTCGTTTGCGTGTTTTTTCTTCCTTTTTGCGTTTTCTTCTCTTTTGCAACGAGTTTTTCTCGCTTTTCTCGCATTTGTTTAGTTTTGCAATGAAGCACACAAATCACTAGCTTTCACTTTGCCATATATATTTCGAAATATATATTTATATATTCATATATATATATAGCATAATTTTCAACGCTTTTCTGCTTTCTTTGTTGGTATTCGATTCGAGCTGCAGTTGAAATATTTTTTGGGGTATTATTTTATATAGAATTTTTGCTAATTCTTTTTCTTGGCATTTTTGTTTAATAATTTTTCACTGTGCCCATTTGCAACAAACACACACATCAACACACACACCGCAACACACACACACACGCGGCGCGCGAGAGAGAGAGACCGAGAGAGAGAGCGAGAGGGATGTGTGTGTGTGTCTCTTGTATATTCATATATATATGTATATATATATGTAATTTGTATGCTTTTGCATTCAGTTAGTTGCGCGGCGCTAACTGAAAGCTGAAAAGGACCGTTTGTGTGGATCTCTTGTCGTGCAACACTGCGACACCGTTGTCCTGCCACAAGCAACTCAGTCGACACAATGAGCGGGCGAGCTGGCTGGAAAAGTTCTCGGAGCCGTTCAAATAAAAGTGTGTTGAAAAACTCTGCCTAGGCTGACTAAATTTCCCACCACCAACAAAAAAAAAAATGTGAAATGTGTGCAGCGAGAGCAGAATTGGAAAACACAGAGAGCAAGAGACCGGGCGAGAGAGAGCGAGAGAGCGTGCGAGAGAGAGAACGAGAGAGAGAGGGAGAGAGAGAGGGAGAGAGAGAGGGAGAGACACACACATCATCTGTTTGGCAGTCCTTTTGGACATCCTTAGACTAGCATATCCTGCTGCCAGCCACAGATGAAACTTCCTGACTTCCTACAACTCTCCTTTCTGCCACTTAGAATGCGCTCATGCCACACACGCCATGTTGTTTATCCGTATTTGTATAATATCCTGTATTTTCATGAGTTTCCGCTAGTCTCTCGTTTTGGTTACATTTTCATCTGTCGTTTTTTTTGAGTTGCTTTTATTAATATTTTTTCCTTTTTTGCAGCTGGAGAGCCGCTTGTAATAACTCTTTGCAAGCGTTGACTTTGGCTTTGGCCTCAACTTTTTAGCTAGCTTGGACATGTAAACAAGTAAACAGCAAGGCCCAGGATTAAGTTAACACTTTAAAATATCAACAACTTTCGACTTATTTTTGCATGTTGTTGTTGCAAATGGATTGTTTTAACGAGAGAATTTTATATTCTAAATAAATAAATAATATTTTTTTTTAATTAAGTTATATTTTTTGCTGGCTCCAGGTTAAATCAACATTGAACTTTAATATAATATTTATTTATATCTATTTCAGACTTGGAATGCAATTTTTTATTTAACTTCGGAATTTCTGAAATTATTTTTAACATTTTATAGTTTTTTTAAAGCTTTATCTTAAGTTTTTCAGCTAGCTTAATAATATTACGAAAGTTTATAATTAGTGGAGCAACTAGCAATGCTAACTGTTAGAAATAACCGTTAGCCACACCCTGTGTGTGAAGCTAAAAAGTCAACGACAGGCAAAAAACTTAAGATTAAAAAGGCGCAGTTCAAAACTAAAACTCGTAAATTTTGATTTTCATGAATGCAAAAGCATAAAATGAAATTTCCATCTCACTAAACTAGGAAACAGAGCGAGAGAGAGAGGGAGCGAGAAGGGGGGAGAAGTGCAGTTAAAAATTATAATACGCTCCAATATAATATGATATGCACACACGATATACACATATACCGTTATTTAAGCAGCCCAGCAGCGACAGTTATGCACACAATAAACGCTCACATAAACATGGTAAATTTAGCATGAAATCAACGAATAAAATAATAAAAAATTATACAAAAAAAAACTAAAGAAAACATATATAAGAAGGACGCGTCAGGAAGTTGGCCCCAGCTGCAGTGGCAAAAAGCAAGTGAAACGAAAGAAGAGAAACGAAGCACGTAAAATGCGCGCCATATGATGAAGTAAACACACACACAAGCACAAACACACACACAGAAAGGACACAAGGCGACAAAAAAGAAGAAATAGTAGAAGAAAAGTAAGCGAAAAAAAATGCAGGCATCGAAATGGGAACACGCCAAGTGGGAAATGCACACGAGCAAAAAAAAACAACTAAATGCACACACACAGAGAGACACACACCTACACACATGTAAACAGAGTTGTACACAACTTGTGCTGGAGTCTGCAGCCAAAGCCAAAGTACCGTTACCGTTACTCCAATCAGACGCCAAACGCAACGAGACGCGAGCGAAAGAGAGCGAGAGAGAGCGCAGTTAGAAAAAAATACGCACCTCACGCGACGCCAGCAAACAGAAGTCTGAGTGGAACTTTATGTTGGCGGCAGGCAAGGAGCGCGAACGGAACGTTTTGGCAAATGGAACAATGGAACACGGCAGAGAATAGAACAAACGAGACACGACCAGGGTGTCTCTCTGTGTGTGTGTGTGCGTGTTACTGTAATTAAGCGCCAGCAATGCGTAAGTTTTTTCTTTGGCAATGCTTGTGGACCACTAAGGGTTAAGCTAGGGGGGAAGTTGGTCTTAGGCAACGGTTTTGGGGGTTAAGGCTGTTTTAATTTCAAATTTAAAAGGCACGCAGCAATTAATTAACCCCAAAGCTGTCGCATTAAAATGTGCAGCTAAAGAAACGAAATGAAAAGTGAGCGTGGCAGGAGGGAGGGGAGGGGACAGGGTGTCTGGTTAATCATGTTGTTGAGTTGGCCAAAAGTTTAGTGGCAAATCCAGACAAAGGTAGACGAAATGCGAATTAAATCTAGCTGCTGAGGAGCAAATGTGCCACAAATGCAAATAAATGTTGCACACAAAAATTGGGACACTCTAGTCAAGTGTGAAAAATGCCACATTGAATGTTGCAGTGGAAATATTTCAGATTAAATTGCAACTACTAATAATGAATAACATATTAATTGATATAATTGACATATTTTTAATTTGATAAATGTTAATATGTCTGTAGTTGATTGGAATAATACTAGTTAATTGCTGTCAAGAGATCAGTTCATATTTCAAGTCTTTAATTTGGATTGATTATAAATATTTTATATTTGATTATTGCCACCCAGAAGATATTTGGCTTCTCTGAGACCTGATTTGTTGCCTCTGCCCCACTCATATTGTGTGTCTCTCTATGCCACAGATAGAAGCCTCTCTGCCCGGTTGCTTCATTCCTTTTTGACTCGAAACCCATCTTAGAACATTGATCCAAGTAAGTCCGCACCTCACAAACTTTAATAAATGTTTAAAACTCAATAGAAATACAAATTGAATGTTTTTTGTTTCTATTTGCAGAAAGCAAACTTTAAAAACAGTTTTCCACCAATCCATTCAATTGCCTGACTGAAATCCACCCCCAATAAAGTATTTATATACTTTGAAGTGCCGATCTGACGATCTCACGCTCAACATGCCCAACAGTTTCACATAGGTGACATAAGGTGTCGATATGGCAACCATAAATTAATGTCAATTCATTTGAGTCAGTCAGCTATCGGGTATCATGTGCACTAGTGTGTCCTGCCACACATTGAGGCAAGTTCGATGACTAATGAACTGCTGACAAATGAAAATGTCACAACACAGCGACAAATGAAGCGCATTAAATGGAAATGTTGCGCTCAACTTATTGTGACATCAAAATGCATTAAATACAAAATAAAAAAAATAAAAAACGACCACTAAAACAATGGCAACAAAAATGTATAAAATTGTGTGTACACTTTGAGATACCCTGTAGGTAGTTTGAATATATACATAAATAAAAGAATAATAATTAGTCAAAAGTGCAAAATGAAGTGGGTTTTAGTTGATATTGGTTGACTAGTTAATACCTTAGAATTGCTCTTAAGACAAAGGAATTTCTTATAAGTGATCAGCATACCCTGTGTTTATATGCGTCTCGTTTAGAGTAGCATTAAAATTAAAAAGACAAGGAAACGACAACAACAAAAATACGCATACAAAATGTGACAGAGCCTCTGCAGCAGCAGCAACAGCAATAGCAGCAGCAGATGTTGCATGAAGCGGAGGAGCGAGGGTAAGCGATACCTAGTGAGTTTAAAGCGCCTCCTCCCCCCTTCTGTATATAATTATGTGATCAACAGCAGCCGCAACAGCAGATCACAAGTTAAAGTCAAAGCCACGCAGGGCAAGCAATGTCAAAGCCGCATGCCACAGCGACCACAAAAAGATGCTGGTCTCCGAGCTGATCCCAATAATGTCATCAACCACGCATGTTCCCACATTGTGCATGCACCCACAAGCAGGAAGGGTGTGGCGAGAGGAGGGGTGTGGAGCGGAGCGAAGGGGCAGTTAAGGCATTAAGTGATGGATAAGCATTTGAGATAAAGTCAAAATAATAAAAAATAATGTGCGCGTGCGTGAATGTTGCAAAGATGTTGAGAGACAGAGAGAGAGAGAGAGAGAGAGAGAGAGAGAGAGGCAGAGGGAGATATAGGGAGAAAGAGCAAACGGAAAGGTCAACTATTTATTAAATCCAATGAATTTGAACCTTTTATGAGGGCAGACGCCCATATGCCCGAAACCAAACGCATTGTTTTTCAGGCCACAAGAGAATAATCCAAATACCGAGCCGTGAGGCATAAACAAAACATGTGCGTGCAATGTGTGCACAAATGTTGCAGCAACCAGAAACCGATGAGGAAGAGGAGCAGCCAGCACTATATTTAAAACAAAAAGAATTAAACTTAAAGTCAGCTACGGCAGCAGCAGGATATCAGACAGACAGCGACTGAGACAATTTGTGTGCCATTAAATGCAAAATTACCCATAAAACATTTTATTTTCTTAATTTTTATTTAATGTCTTCTATGCAACTGAAAAATTATATTTCAAACATCATTTTCTTAAGTTTTGTGGGCATATTTATGTGCAGAGTTGGTG